TAACTCTTTGATGATTTTTTTTTCCAGAATGGGGCGCTGTGATCTGCATTAAAAACCTGTGCAGACAGATATTCTTTCTCTTCAGTGATTTTCTTAATGGCGTCTTGGAGAGAGGTCAGCCACCTCTTGGTCAGCAGAAACTTTCTTCTATTCCCTTGACATTTTTAAAGTGAAACCTCTTTGTAAAATGATCAAACTATCCTTTGCTGGCTTTAAATTTTCCAGCTTTGTAGCCTTCACCTTCCTTTTGCTTTGTCATTTATGACTTCACTTTTTTTTAATTATATGAGTATACATGTGCCTTTTTAATAGCAATTCTGTACTCATATAAAAGGTACACTTTGAATGTTAAATAAAGAGGTATTTTGCAAAATGTACAATGGTTTTTGCACCTGCTGGTATAGCAGTAATGGCTTTATAAATTTTTTTTTTTTTTACATCGGTCCTTATACCAGATTCATTTATCTTGAAATGGTGGGTGACTATAGCTGCAGACATATCAAGTAATTTAAGTTTTTTCTTGTAATAACTTTTCTCTGCTTCTTGGAAAAACTTGCAGCATCACTGGTAGCTCATGTGGGTCCCATAATGTTATTCAAGGTTTATGGTATTGCACTAAACATGATGAAACATAAGTGAGAACCATGAGATCACTTTTTACTATGATACGCAATTCACTGGAGAGACCCAACTGTTCATATGAAGATGGTTAGTGTCACAGGGCTTTTTTATTGGATACTTGGAATTCTTGAGCTCACTACAGTAGCAACAGTAGATGCATACGATATTGCTATAGTAGTATAAGGTGTGCTCCAGTTAATTCTGTGTAGTTATGACTTAATACTATACCTTTTTTTTTTTTTTTTTTTTCTTGAGACAGAGTCTCACTCTGTCGCCCAGGCAGGAATGCAGTGGTATGATCTCGGCTCACTGCAACCTCCACCTTCTGGGTTCAAGCAATTCTCCCACCTCAACCCCCCAAGTAGCTGGGATTGTGGCACATGCCACCACATCCCGCTAATTTTTGTATTTCTTTAGTAGAGATGCGATTTCACCATGTTGGCCAGGCTGGTCTTGAACTTCAGATGTTAAGTGATCTGTCTGTCTTGGCCTCCCAAACTGCTGGGATTACAGCCGTGAGCCACCGCTCCCAGCCATAATACTATATCTGTATTCACATTGCTGTCAAGTGCAAATGGTGCCATGTACAACCTTGTAAGTGTGTGTGTAAGTTTTGATAAATTTTAACTTCTTATAATAGATTCGTATATATTTTATGGTAGTGAATGTTAGATATCTACATACATTTTGCATGTCATGATGAACCTAAATTTGTCTTAGGCTTTCCAATATTTCTAGACTACATGGCTTGTCTACAAGTTTTTTTTTTTTTATTGTTGCAAATCTCCAAAAAAAATTCCAATATATTTATTGAAAACACTGCATATAAATGAACCATGTGGTTCCAAAATGTGTTGTTCAAGGGACAAATGTACAAGGGTTTTCCCAAAAATGCCATAGGAAAAAAAACTGTAGGAGAATTAATGAAAGAAGAATGACAGTGCTAGTGTTATTGCTTTGCTTTTGAGTGTTTCTGAAATTTTCCTTAATAGTCTTTAAAGTATATGTTGTCCCAACTTTGACTGATGATAAGCCCCTTCATGCTAATTTCTTGTCCTTTTCACATGTCTTCTTATTTATTAATCAGTTTCTTGCTTTCTTGGTAAAAAAGATGCCTCAGGTTTACTTTCTACCTTTACTGCTTGACTAGTTATCGATTGTGGTGTAACAAATTACTCCAAAGTTAAAGATGTGTGAAGTAATAACCCTTTATTATCTCATACAGTTTCTGTGGGTCAGAAATTTGGGAAGAGCTTAACTGTTCTTTTGGCTTAGGGTCTTCCATAGGGTTGCAGTCAAGATGTTAGCTTGGGCTTTAGCATCTGAAGACTTGACTTGGAATTGCAGAATCCACTTCCACAATGACTTACAATTTAGTGCTGACCAGTGGTAGATCTTAGTGCTTCACCATGTGGGTTTCTCTATAGGACTCTTTGAATGTTCTCATGACATGGCTGCTGACTTTTTATAGAGTGAATGATCCAAAAGAACAAGGCAGACACTGCTATCTATGTCTCTTATAACCTAACTTCAAATACTATACAATATTATTTTCAAAATATCCTATTGGTTACACAAGTCAGCTTTATACATTGTGGGTAGAGGCTGTATAAGGGCATGAATACCAGGAAGGTAGGGATCATTGGGATTTACTTGAATTTGGATTTCACACTACCCTAGCACAGGAATCAGCCATTTCTTCAGTGAGCCATGGTTTCATTTAATACAGAATAGTATTTAAAGATTAAAATCCTGGCAGTCAGTTAAGAGGATGTACTTACTGATAATTGCTTATCATTTCTGCTAGGCACTTTTAGTAGGCAGAGCTAAGAAATAAGTTTTTATGTGTATACATAGGTATTTAAATCATACATTCATCTTGATATTTAACCCAAATTTAGTGTGACAGGGTTTTCACCTTTTTGAATCTTTGAGTTTTTTTTTCCCCACATTTATTTTTTTGGAACAGGTAAAACATTTACATAATTAAAATGTCAAAACCATGTGAAAAGGTATATTCAGAGAACTCTTATTTATATACCTTTCTCTACACCTCATTCTTATTAGTAACCATTTTTATTTTATTTCTGGTTTATTCTTCAGGTGTTTCGTTTTGCAGAAATAGGTAAAGGCATGTACATACACAGATATATGTATTCATATTTTCCACTCCTCCCAATCTTTTACAAAAGATAATATATACATTATTCTGTACCTTTATATTATTTATTTATTTTTTTAACTACTCTGCACTTATTGGTAAGATATTTTGTACCTTTCTTTTTTTAGCAGTGCATCCTGAAAATCAGTCTGTATGTTGATTTGGAAGTCTTCCTATTATTCTGGCTGTATAGTATCTATGAGATGGATGCACTACTGAAAGTTCACCTATGCACAGTCTTTGGGACTGTTGCTAGTCTTTTGCTACTAGAAATAATGACTAGTCGGCTGGGCATGGTGGCTCACACCTGTAATCCCAGCACCTTGGGAGACCAAGGTGAGCGGATCACTTGCGGTCAGGAGTTAGACCAGCCTGGCCAATATGGTAAAACTCCGTCTCTAATAAAAATGCAAAAATTAGCCACGTAACGGCGTGCACCTATTGCCCCAGCTACTTGGGAGACTGAGGCAGGAGAATCACTTGAACCCAGAAAGCAAAGCAGAGGTTGCAGTGAGCTGATATTGCACCATTACACTCCAGCCTGGGTGTCCCAATGAGACTCCATCTCAAAAAAAAAAAAAAAAAAAAAAAATCTTTCAGTCAAAAATAGCCATTTCTCTAAAATCAGTATCCTTAAACGTTGCATACATTGTCAAATCAATTTCAAGACTTTTCCCATTCCACACCCCCCCATTTTTTTTACAAAAGATAATAAATATACTTTTCAATGTCTTGAATACATTCCTAGGCATAAGTTCTGTTTTTATATGTAGTCCCTTTAATTGCTTTGTGTAGGACTAAACACAGTAGTTGGTAGATCATTTACAAGTGATTATTTCATATGCTTAAAAGATTGAACAACAAGGCCAGGCATGGTGGTTCATGCCTGTAATACCAGCACTTTGGGAGGCCGAGGTCAGTGGATCACTTGAGGTCAGCAGTTTGAGACCAGGTTGGTCAACATGGTGAAACCCCATCTCTATAGAAATGCAAAAATTATTCAGGCGTGGTGGCACATGCCCATAGTCCAAGCTACCCGGTAGGCTTAGGCATGAGAATCGCTTGAACCCAGGTGGTAGAGGTTGCCGGGATCTGAGAACACACCACTGCACTCCAGCCTGGGCAACAGAATAAGATTCTGTCTCAAAAATAAAAAGACTGAGCAACAATCAAATAGGCAGTGTTATTACTTTTTGTACGTATTCTTAAACATTGGGGTTAATATTTGTAAAGTGACAATTCATATTGGAATGTTTCTGTTCTATAAATCCATTCAACATTATGATGGCAAATCCCTTCAAAATAATAAAATGCAGAATACTTATGGAAAATGATTATGTTAAACTGAGCTTGCATTTTAATAATTTATTTTTGGCATCACCTGTTGTGTGGTTTCACAAGTTGGATATAGGCTAAAGTGATGAGCATTATCAGCTTTAATTTGTTCCATGAGCACAGACTATACTCCTTTTTGTTGATTGCTGCGTAACAGATTTATGAGCTTAGTTACAAGGAGACTCAACTGTAAATGAATCCAGAGATATTATTAGTGTATGATTTAAAAATAAGTGAGAATGTATTCGCTTCTGTTGGTATTAAAAAAGCATTACTTTAAAAAGTGTGTGCATGTTTAACACAGGAAGATCACTGTTAAGACATTGAGATTAAAACCCTAGAAAAATTGGGTTTTGATTGGTTTCAGTATTGTAATAGTGGTAATTGTGGTTTTATTAAAATGTGCATATTTTTATTTGATATAAGCAAATAGTAATTCGCCTAAACCTTTGCTGTTTGATAAGGTAGTAATGCATGTTATATAAAAATTTGCATAAACTTCCATGTATTTATTTCACTCATTAAGCCTCTCTTAAAATTCTTGGTTATATTATTTGCCAGTGCTTCATCAATATATGTGACATTTTGGATTTATAAATCAGCACAACACTTTTATGCTTCTCCAATTTTATTTCTAGGTGCTAACTGCCAAAGAAAGGAAAACTCAAATTGATGATAGAAACAAATTGACTGAACATTTTATTATTACACTTCCTATGTTACTGTCAAAGGTACAGTTTCATTTACAGTTTTGTTATGTTACTGAGTTTGCTTTCATTGTGCTATTAAAGTAGTTACTGTCTTTTTCTTTGCTTCTTCTCCTCCTAGTATTCTGCAGATGCAGAGAAGGTAGCAAACTTGCTACAAATCCCACAGTATTTTGATTTAGAAATCTACAGCACAGGTAGAATGGAAAAGGTAATGATACTATGAAATTGAAATTCAGCTATTATTATAGTTTTATTAACGAAATTATTTTATTTTCATGTACTCTTACAGGCATATTTGTTATTTGACAGATGCTAATTTTTAATTTTTCATTAATCTAAATATTACAGTTTTTCTTTTTTTCCTCCTCAGCATCTGGATGCCTTATTAAAACAGATTAAGTTTGTTGTGGAGAAACATGTAGAATCAGATGTTCTAGAAGCCTGCAGTAAAACCTATAGCATCTTATGCAGTGAAGAATATACCATCCAGAACAGAGTTGACATAGCTCGAAGCCAACTGATTGATGAGTTTGTAGATCGGTTCAATCATTCTGTGGAAGACCTATTGCAAGAGGTCTGTTTGAAAGATAATGTGCACATATAATATTGGCTAACAATTATTTAAGATAGCTGAGTATGTAAAGCATTTTCATTTTAAAATGAAATCTGGTAGAATTGTCTGCCCCTTTCAAACTTTAGCACCATTATTATAATTGTATATTTTGTGAAGATCAGCCTTGGTTATCGCTTATTTTTATTTTAAAAATATTTCATAAAAACTAGAATTTT